ACTCCTCCTTCTGCAGGTGCGGAAATATCAGTAGCAGCAGCTTGAGGTGCATTTTCCAACTTCAACAAATTCGTTAACCACCCGGAATCACCCTGAGGCCTTCGGGACCTCAACCAAAAATACAAACAAGTCATATATCAACATACAAACTTAGTCGAACCTTAGAATCACTCAAAACAACATCAAATCACCAAATTTCCCTCGGATTCAAGCCTAAGAACTTCTAAACTTTCAAATTCGACAACTGATGCCGAAACTAACCAAACCACGTCCGAATGACCTCAAATTTTGCACACACGTCACAAATGACACTACGAACCTACTCCAACTTCCGGAATTCCATTCCGACCCCGATATCAAATTTTCCACTGCCGACCAAAATCGCCAAATTTTCAACTTTTGCCAATTCAAGTCTTATTCTATTACGGACCTCCAAATCACATTCCGGACGCACTCCTAAATCCAAAATCACCTAGCGGAGCTAACAGAACTATCATAATTCAAATCCGAGATCGTTTACATATAGGTCAACATCCAATTGACGTTGTTTTTCAACTTAAGCTTCTACTTTAGAGACTAAATGTCTCATTCCACTCCGAAACCACTCCGGACCCGAACCAACTAACCTGGTATATCATAATATAGCTTAAAATCATAAAGGAAATAGAAATGGGGAAAATGGGGCTATAACTCTCGAAACGACCGGCCGAGTCGTTACACCACCTCTGCTTGGAGCTGCCCGATCTTATCGAGCTTCTGTTGGACCTGCGGGTCCATACCATTAGCCACAGTGTCTGACTCATTATCATTAACCTCAAATGCTCTTCTTACCTACTCGACCAGGTCGACATGCCCCTTCCGAGCCACCTCTAGCTCAACCCGGAGTTTCTCACTGAGAAATTTGTAAGCATCCCTCTTCTCAGTAAGCCCTCGAGTCTCGGCCTCATGTTGGTTTAACTCTTCCCGATATCGGAGAAATGTCTCGTGGTGAAGCACCGAGGCCTACAAACACAAAGAAAAAAGTTACGGTTATTTACGACTTAATCTAATTACATAATAGAAGTCATCAAGAGGCATCCGAAGTTACCCGGTTTAGTGCTTGTTGTGCTTCGTTGAATAGGCAGGACGCGTCCACCTAGTTCATCTTGGCTTGATCCTCTTTGGTCACCGGGCACCGAAGATAACTGGAAACCCCTATGGGGGCAGAGATGACCCGGGCATCCTCCGGAATATACATGATAATCGGCCGCTTCCGGTCAGGATTCACACTAGGAGCTGGGAATCGGTTGACTAGTTTCAGACTTGAAGAAGGCCCGCTGGTTCCTGAAGACGGTCTCTTCCTTGGCACCGGTAAGTCACCTGATCCGATGACGTCCTCCGAGGTGGTAGAGTCTAAACCATCAAAAGAGTTGTGAAAGGTGTCTGCCACCCCTTGGGAGCCCTCGTTGGGGCGCCCTCTCAACGTTTGGGCCTCGTTGATCATGGAATCAATAAACGAAGGCGACTCTGAGAGATAAATCACTCAAAGTACGTCCTTAGGGGCATTGTCCTCTGCCCGAGAAGCACCGACCGCGGTTTCTTTGTCGACCTCCCTAACTTGGGACAAAACGGCCTCGCCCCTCCTTGGTTCGGAGGCCTCGACCACTGCCTTTTCATCGGTCCCCTGATTTGAGGCAGTTTGGTGTCGCCTCGCACGTGGGCCACCAGTTCAGAAGCTTATTCTTCTTCTTCTTCGGACTCATCCCTTAGCCGATGGAGTCAGTCCGATGGAAGCTCTCGGGCGTTGGTGCTTTCTTTAGATTTACGCACCAGCCTCCTCTTTGGTTATTTCTTCTCCAAGTTCGGAGAACTCGGAGCCCTTTTTCTCTTCTTCTTCCCACCCTATCTCAGAGCAGGGGACTCAGCGGGGCAATCCTCGTCACTGGATAGAGGCCTCATTGCGACATCCTTGGAAAGACCTACAAAGAAAAAAGAAATGAGTAAGGGCACAACAGCACGGAGGAAACCTAAGTGTTGTCCACTCAAGAAAGGAATCTCACCATGAGAACGGGCCTCCCACCGGCCCTTCGAAAGCTAGTGCCATGTGCGCTCGGAATACAATTTCTGTGACACAATGCCCTCGACCCACTCCTAGAGTCGAGGGACTGGATCCAGGACCTGAGCAACAGTTGCATCGCCACCAAACACCGATAATAAGGAAGGAAAGGAGAGTAAAATTGAAACTTTGGGAAAATGAATCTTTACTTACGTTTTGTGTTCCACTTCTCGGGGAACGACATGTACTCGGCTGGGATCAGGTTTGAGGTCTTCACTCGGACAAATCGGCCAAACCAACCTCGATCCCGATCTTCATCGATGCTCGAGAATGAGGCTTTACTAGCCCGGCGCGCAAGTTTAATCAGTCCCCCCTGGAAGAATCGGTGACTGTATATGCGCATAAGATGGTCGATAGTGAATGAGTATCCGTCAATCTTGCTCACAAACAACCAGAGAAGAATGACGATCCTCCAGAATGAGGGGTGGATCTGACTGAGGCACACCACATACCTTTTGTAGAACTGGATGATTACCGGGTCCAACGGGCCCAGCGTAAAGGGATAAGTGAAACACTTAAGTATCCCTCGACGTGGGTAGTGATATCTTCATCGGGCCCGGGAACCACCACGTCTTTTCCGACCCAGTTGCAATCATTTTTAACCGCGGGGAGAATTTTTTTATGATCGAGCAGATGTACCTCGAGACCTTCTCGCACCGGCCAGGTACGGGTGAACGTTTCTCAACCTTAAAATCAGCAGTCACCGAGCACCCGCCAGGAATGAACATGCTAAGAGAAGGTTCAGCTGCTGGTTCCTCACCGGCCAGTCGCGATGTAGAAGTAGTTTCTTTTTGGGGAACTATTTTTGAAGTTTTCGCCATTTTCTTTTAAAATGAAGGAAAATAGATGAAAAAGAGGAACTTAAAGAGATACACTTGATGGTCTGGAATGAAGACAAGCGAAAATTCTTACAAAGATCTCAAGAAATCATGATACAAATGCTAGAAAATGTAGAGATTTCTAAGGAACAAGAGTAGATAAGATTTGGATGTAAAGTTTGAATGAATGAAGAATGGGGTATTTATAATTTTCAAACGATGATTCAAAGCCAGGAGTGTTCGACCAGCAACTGACGATCATTTAATGCCATTAAGACGTACTTGACGAGGCATTTCGTTCATTTTGTCATTTCTAACGCGGAGTACCGAGATGAGAATCGGAAGCTCATATCGTTTCTCGTCGTTTACTCTCCGAAAAATGAGAGGACTATCTGTATATGGTCGAAATCGGACTAGACTATTGCATGACAGATCGGGCTTGGAACACGAGGGGTTGAAGATCGACCTTGAGTCTCATCGAACTAGAACACGAGGTCAGAATGTCCGTCCTCGAGAACATTTAGTCCATGAACCCGGAATCCACCCTAACCCCGAATAAGCTCGAGAAAACATAGCCGGTATAACCAACAGAAGACCGAAATAATGAAAGGCCGAAATATCCGTAACCGGTCAAATATCACTGTGATAATCTCGGCACGTATCAATAAGGAACTGGCAAATTAGCAAACCAAGAGATTTTTATCTTTTATAGAATTGTACCTAAAGTAGGACTCTCATATTATATAAATAGGGTCTGATTACTTGTGAAGGGCATTGTAACTCGCATTCCAAAGTGATATATTGTTATTTTTAGTTCTTATTCTCTTGTCATTCTGTTCTGATATCAATTAAAGCACTTTTGGCTCGAGAGCGACAAACCTTCTAAGGCTAAGACTGTTCAACCAGTGTGGTTTGCATTTACTTTCTCATTGCTTATTTCAATTTCAATCTAATTTATCATTTTGTATCAAGTTAGATCACGTATCCTTAAAACTATGTACAAATCTAGTTGTTATCCGATTTTGAGGGTAAACAAATATCTTATAACATCGCAAGCAAAACTTGTTGCAAATATAGCGTCATTGAATTAAAAAAAAAAAAAAGAAGAAGAGAAAAGTCCGTGTAGGGACATATTGATGGCTAAAGACCATTCTTTTACCAATATTCAAAACGAAGTTTCAATTGTTCGAACTTGGACATGCTGTATTATTTCTTTGGTCAAGTAAAAAGAAGAGTAATTGGTGCAGTCTAAAACAGTAATTGAACGAATATTAAATTCATGTTGAAAATTGTTCAAAGACATCTGGTCTTTATTCATCAAAAAAATTAGAGACAGTTTAGAAGGATTTTCCCAAACAAATAAAGGCAGCAATCAGTATAATTATTATTGAACTTAAGATCTCTCAACTGTAGTACCCTTATTAGAGGTAATCCGAAGATGTATCGGAGAGAAGTGATTAGACAGAACATGTCATATTTTTAGCTTACTGATAACATGATCCTAGATAGAAGGATATATAGGTAGAGTATTATGGTAGAAGGTTTGTAGGTAGTCGAGTTTGGGATACCGTATCTGTTACATATTTTTATTATTATTATTATCATTTTCGTATTATCTTAGCCTTCGATTTCTATTACTACTCCCTTGTATTTGGTTTCTTATTGTTTTTTATTTTGACGTTATTACTATTCTTGTCTTTATTATTTTTAACATGACTTCTTTATTACTGTTTTTCTTTTTCAAACCTACTGAGAATTAATTTTTCTTGAGTCGAGGCTCAATTGTAAACAACATCTCTATCTCTATTGTGGAAATATACTTGATAGGTTGTTATTATTGTTGTAACTGTAGTACCCTTCACTTGTATATGCCATATTAATATTTCATTACGAACGTCTTTACATAATTAAGAGAAAATTAGTGTAATTAATACAAAAATGATGTCTTCTTTAATTATCTCATTTTAGTCATTTTCCAACAAACAAATACTAGTACGGTTTCCTTGTTTTGACAGTTGGTTGGAGTATCATTAACTCTATTTAACTTGCAATAGAAACTAATCAAATCAGTATTTTCCCTCCGCGTTCAATCCCAGTTTTTTCTTAATTAGGCGTAGATTTGAAGTCCAGTCCAAGCGACAACGACACAGCAACAACGGGCCCACAAATAAATTATCTTTCCCTCTCTATTTTACATTTTTTTAACTCTTCATGTTCATTTCTGGTGCACACAAAATCCCAAGTGTTTTTCAACATACTTCTCTCCGGCATAATCGTTTCTCACGAGTCACGTTTCTCTAGGTACTGTTTTTTCCTCTCTCGTTTTTTTGATAGTAGAAAATGTTCGCTTAACTTTGATTTTGTAGTTTTGCTGCTTAGTTTTCAGTTTTTAAGCAGTTCGATCTGTACATTTCGCGAATACTCTCGAACTACACTTTATGTTTCTATGTTTAAATTTTAGCGTGAGTTTTCTAATTATGTTTGTAATTTCTTCGTTTTGCTGCTTATATTTCAGTTTCAAGCTCTTCGATCTGTGCATTTCGGAGTTTTCTTCCATTTCTTAGCTTCTCCGGCATAATCAGGTATGCTTTGTTATAATTAACATCGGTTTATGGAAGTAGAAGGTGTTAGTTAATTTTTTGAACTTAGGAGTGATTTTCGGAAATTTCTTCTGTTTAGCTTTCAGTTTTCAAGCTGTTCGATTTGTACATTGCGCTTCATATTGGAGGAAAACGCCGCATTCTAGGGTTAATTACTCGATTAGCAGTGGCGTCTCCGACGGTTCGAGAAGCAGATTCGTTGGTTTTTCTTGTGGAAATTATGAAGGAACTGGACATTTGTGAAAATTATGAGTTTGATTAAGTAAGTTTCCTTCTTCTTTTTTTAACTTTTATGTTGTGTTTGAAGTTGAGATTGAGATCTGTAGTTGAAAAACTGTGGTCGAGGCTGACAGTTGAGTACTGAATGTTCTCGCGCCTTGTGCCGATCTAAATTGTTTTTGTGTATTATATTTAAATTTAATTGTCTATTCTGTAACTTCAGGTGCTTGCTGGCTTCTGTCGCACAGGTTATTATAAAATACTGATATATTGAAGACTAAGCAGAATTTAGTATAGCATTTTAGAATGCACCCAACCCAAGGGTGAGGCCTAGTGGTTAATGAAGTGGGTGAGAATCATGATGTCTCAGCCTCTCAGGTTCAAATCCCAGCGGAGGCAAATACTAGGTGATTTCTTCCCATCTATCCAAGCCTTGGTGTATAGAGTTACCTGGTACCTGTTGCAGGTGGGAGATGGCAGGTATCTCGTGGAATTAGTCGAGGTCCACGCAAGCTGGCCCGGACACCACGGTTATCCAAAAAAAAAAAAAAAAAAAAAAAAGTATAGCATTTCAGAGTCTAAAATATGTGAAATGGTTTCTGAGTATTTAATTTTTTCAGAAGACAGTCAAGAAACTAGTGTATCATATTCTTAAATTAGTTCTAATCTATCAAAACTTTTCACTCTGTTATCTGTAATTTTTACTTTGGATGCTTATTTAGAGCATTTTCAGCTTTTCATGCTCCAGATAAAGTATAATACTATTTTTTGTCCTGATCGGTCTCAATGTTTCTTCCCATTTCTTTCCACTGGTACATGATCCTGGCAGCTGCAATCTGTTTTTTCTTTTTCTTTTACCGGCCCTGTTAATAAAAGTTAACTACGCTCGGAAAGGGAACCAGAAATGCATTAGGATGGTCAAACGGCAGGTTTTATAGATGTTTAGTCATTTAACTTCAAAGCTTGTTTTTATCCCTTTATGTTTCAAACTAAGAGTATACGGTGGAAAATTGGACATTTATGTGCTTTTGTTATAATTTTTGAATATTTTCTCTTGACTTGGTTGATTATGTTTCATAGACTTCGCCTTCTTTCTTGTCATTGATATAAAGGTACCAGTAAAACTTCTCCGTGTTAGCTGCAGACAGTGCTTCTTGGCTGCTGCCCTTTCTATTTCAATATAGCTAGGACTGTATTGCTCTTTTGCATTCAAGTTGTGATCTTCCTCTTGGAGCACTTTGATATTTATTCAAAACCATTTTCTCTGTTCAATCTCTTATCTAGTGTGAAGGGTAGCCTTGGTGTAACTGGTAAAGTTGTTGCCATGTGACCAGGAGGTCACGGGTTCGAGCCGTGGAAACAGTCTCTTGCAGAAATGCAGGATAAAGTTGCGTACAATAGACCCTTGTGGTCCGGCTCTTCCCCGGACCCGCACATAGCGGGAGCTTAGTGCACGAGGCTGCCTTTTTAATCTCTTATCTACTGACAGGACTAGTATTAAAGCAGCAGTAGGTCCTTTAGGTGTTCAATTCAAACTACATCTTTCAATGTTCAAGAACTTGCCCCCTAAATTTGATCATCAGCCAGTCAACTAGGTTTGTCGTGTTCTTGAGCAGTGCACTCAAATCTCCAATCTTATGTTTAGGCATGATTTTCATCTGCAACTACTTTCCAATCTGGGGAAATAATGTGAAAGTGCATGTCGTATTTGGTGTTATGAAGAAACGGGTATCGTTTCCTTTTGGCTTTTGCACTGTATCTAGCAATGGACTCACATGATCAAGATTCAATTTTGTTCTTCAAGTTAATTATGGTTCTTTTTCTCCTTAGCATATGCAGATCATGAGATAAGCTATTTTTTGACATATCTGGGCATACTGTTGCAGGTGCTATTGTTCTATGACTTATCTGGGCATTACCATTGAGGGTGCTACTGTGTTTGACTCCTGGAGCTCTTCTAGTCTGGCATTAGTTGAATTGAATCCTAAATGATTAAACAGTTGTATTGACAATAAAAATGAAGAAATGGTACGGAGGTGTTTTAACAACATCCTTGTTGATGTTTTTGGTTCTGGGGTACTGTGTGATGAGGAAACCTGTCAAGGAAAGTTATGTTACAAGTTCTGTCTACTTCAACATGACAAATCCTCTTGAATGGATAAATGCTATGGCTCCACCTGCAGCTCACCAGCCAGAAAAAATTACTCAAGTGATATCTGCAGAAATTGTTGTCTCTGATCTCTTTATTAAGAGGAACCTGTCAGCTCAGGAGCAACAATCTTTGTCTACGTGGTATCAGTTGAAACGCTTAGTTACTCATGATCAAGTCTTACCTAATGCTATAGAGGCAGTTAAGGAAGCCAGTGTTGCATGGAACAACCTCATGAGTGCAGTAGAGAGGGAAAAACTTGATGCAAATGATAGTTCAGTTAAGACCGGGAAACAGAAACAATGCCCTCATTTTCTCAGCAAAACCAATGCTACAGAAATTGATGCCAGTGGCTTTAAGTTGCGGTTTCCTTGTGGTCTGACTCAGGGTTCTTCCATCACAATAATTGGCATTCCAAATGGTCTTCTTGGGAATTTTCGGATAGATTTGACTGGTGAACCACTTCCAGGTGAACCAGATCCTCCTGTTATTCTGCATTACAATGTTAGGCTCCATGGTGATAAAATAACTGAGGATCCCGTAATTGTACAAAACACCTGGACAATTGCACATGACTGGGGTGAAGAGGAGCGCTGTCCCTTACCATCGGATGAAAAGAGTAAGAAAGGTAAGAGAATTTTTTCTCTCTTCACAAAAGGAAACTTTGAAGCTCATTCACCAGCATTCCTTTCAATTCCATCAACGATTTGGCAACTTTCTATGCTCTAGAAGTGATGCTGCATCCTCATGTGTGCTCAATTGAGTAACTGCAGTCATAATGTTGGGCATGCCATTTATGGAAATAAACTTATTGCCCTTGAAGTCTATGTCATCTTTTGAGGTCTAGATCCTGCATACATTTGGGATTTCTTTGTGTGCTGATATTATACTAAACATTCTGAAAATGGGTTTATCTTCTTGGCAATTTTGCTATTTTAAATATATATAGATTTCCGAATTTCACTATTTCAAAATCTGCCTGCCTAGTTGAGTTTCAGTGTCTTTCCTGTTGATATTGTCTCTCTCAATTTTGTCCCCTCCCTTTGACCATATTCTCCATTGCTGCATAAGCCATAAGAGATATGTTGCAAACCTTTTCTCCAATTTGTTAAAAGTTGGTTGGTCTCATTCCTGAGAATCGTGATAACGATTTCTATAATTGCATCATCTCCTTTGCACCTCTATTTTCTTCCAAGAGATATAACAGGTTTATATGACTAGCTAAATTTGGGTTCATCATAATGTTCTCCTGTTCCTCACTTGTACTATCCTTTGCATTATTAACTAACATTAGTTACCTTTTTGCCAGTGGATGAATTGGAGCAATGCAATGAGATGGTGGGAAATGTCATAACTCGACATGTCATTGCAACAAATAAATCTAGCCTGGCTCAGGACGGGTCTAAATCAAGAAAATATTTTCCTTTCAAGCAAGGATATCTCTCTGTTGCCACTCTGAGAGTAGGATCTGAAGGAATTCAGATGACAGTTGATGGAAAACACATAACATCTTTTGCTTTCCGTGAAGTAATTTTTGTTCTCCGTTTCTCCCTTTCTCCTCTTGTTCCTCAGAATTTTATTGTATTTCTGTATCATCATAATGGTTATCTGCTTCCCCAGAATCTCCTTTAATTTTTATGTATGTCTTATTAGACTTTGGAACCGTGGCTTGTAAGTGAAGTGAGGATATCCGGAGACATAAAATTAATTTCTGTTGTCGCGAGTGGTTTGCCAACATCTGAGGATTCAGAGCATATAAGTGACTTGGAAGCTCTAAAAGCAGTTCCTCTTCCTCCTCGGAAAAGACTAGATCTCTTTGTTGGTGTATTTTCTACCGCAAATAATTTTAAGCGCAGAATGGCTGTCCGTAGAACTTGGATGCAATATGATGCAGTGCGATCTGGACAAGTTGCGGTGCGGTTTTTTGTTGGCTTGGTGAGTGCTTCTTTTCTTTGCACTCCATACTGTGAAACTACCATTGGATCTAAGTAGTGTTCAATAGCGATGCTTATTTGATCCTAATTACTGGATCGTGGGGCTGCCCAGTTAGAGCCAGAAGATATTCCATCATTTATTCATCCTGAAAGCATCTTATTTTAAAAAGTAGATAGTATTATGTAATGTCTTAGTAGAAGTCACATATTAGAATTCAGCGAATGAAATTTCATTTGACATGATAATTCTGTGTTATGTATCTTCTGTAGCATAAAAACCAAATGGTGAATGAAGAGCTCTGGAATGAGGCTAGGACATATATGGACATCCAGCTGATGCCTTTTGTTGATTACTATAGTCTTATCGCTTGGAAGACCATTGCCATATGTGTTTTTGGGGTAAAATCCTGTCTCTTCCTAATCCATGGAGTATCTCATGCACGCCTTGCTGACTTCATTTATTGCACAGACGGAGGTCATTTCAGCAAAGTTTGTCATGAAGACAGATGATGACGCATTTGTTCGAGTGGATGAAATCTTGTCTTCTATGCAGAGGATTAATGTGACTCGCGGATTGCTGTATGGTCTTATCAACTCAGATTCCCATCCTCATAGGAGCCCAGACAGCAAGTGGTTTATCAGTCCAGAGGTGAATATCTTCTTCATATCTCATAGTTCATAGACAATTTCACCCCTTGCACTCTTTCAGTATTCATCAATGGGGAAGGGCATCTGTCTTAGCAATTGATCATGGAACGAAAATAACACATAGTTGATCTTCAGCTCTTATACGTATTGAATCTTGTTCTTTTGTTGATGTAAAGGAATGGCCTGAAGAAACTTACCCTCCTTGGGCACATGGACCGGGTTATGTTGTGTCCAGTGATATAGCAAAAACAATCAGCTCAAAACAGAGAAAAGGCCGCCTAAAGGTAAAATGTACCATTGTCTATCTCTACTTATTCAACTGTCATTTAAGTGAATGAAGTTTACGTTTGAAAATGTAATATCCAGCGGCCCCTGTCCTGTATCTCCCATTTAATTCTAAAAGTTACTAGTCCGCTGAAAATGCAGATGTTTAAGCTGGAAGATGTTGCTATGGGCATCTGGATTTCAGAAATAAAGAAGAAAGGGTTGGAAGTGAAGTATGAAAAAGAAGAGAGGATTTTTAATGAAGGTTGCCGAGATGGTTATGTTATTGCACATTACCAAGGCCCTAGAGAGATGCTCTGTCTTTGGCAAAAGATTGAAGAGAAAAAACGGGCTTTATGTTGTGGCGAGTAATACAAAATAGTTTTTCTTCCGAGTTTTGAAGGCTCGGAAGTTTCTATTACTAAGATTTGACAAAGATCCTGCTGACCTTGTCTACTAACTGACCAAGGATATCTACTTGAGGTGGAATACCAATTAGGTCGGGATGAAGAGACCAAACTTGTGCTTATTCAAGCTGCTATACCATGTTGTGGTATAAGGAGGTAAAGTAGTTACTAGCATATTGATATAAGTAGGTGATTAGATTAGCTTGTTAAACATATTACTAGAAGATTGATTAGTGAAGATGATGGTGGGAAAGGGATCTGTATTATAAAAAGGAAGCTAAATGGAGGGGCATTATACATTGTATAGAGAAGCGGGTACACTACGTTCGGTGATTATTTTGTATGTAAATCACACGATCTCTCGTACCCATTTCTTGAGTGATGGAGAGCATTGGTATACATTGTATACTACAGTATGTTTTTACATTGGAGTTGTCTACCTTATGTCTTACAGCTACTGCAATCCTAAGGGGTCGTTTGGTTCTAGTTAGGAAGGGAGTTATTCATGTATACTAGCATAGCTGATACCACGTTTGATAGTTTTTTTGTTGCTTTCTATAAATTTCGGCACACCAAGTACGTTGTTTGGTTATCATTTTACAATATCACATAAATAAAACAAATATAATAAGTTATAAGTTAATTTATGTATTATTTTATGTGGGGTAGAAGATGGAATAACTAATTTCTGCACAATTAAATCATATATAACTAATCTCTGCATAATTAATACCTACATTACTTGGTTAACATGCGTTGCCCGTCGCTGCCAATTTCAATATGGCTTTCTTTTTGGATTACGGGTGACAGGCGAATGCCAAAGTCCGAAAGGTATAAGAGGCAGTTTCCGCCCGCTCAACAATAGATCAATTTTAATTTTTTTTAAAGTCAACACCAAATTAAAGAAAATACTCAATATATTACAGTTGCATTTCAAACCATACTAAATTGAAGACTGTATACTAAATTGAAGACTGTATACGGTCGAAATTAGGCCGATTTCGTATGGTTAACCGAGACCGGGGCGACAGACCGAGGTTCGATCCCAAGTTATATTGGATCGTTACATGAATAGATATTGCCTAGCTCGTGATTCAGGGATCGAGATCGAGACCAGCTAAGATCGAGACCAAGAAGGATAGAGATCTAGCGAGATCGAAGGAAGCCTGCTAAGTCGAATAACAGAAAGCCGAGGAATCCGTGATCGGACGAAGATTGTGGCAGAGATCTCGGCATGTATCAAGACAAGACCGGTTGATTAGCCAATCAGGAGATTTCCTTCTGTATTTAGAATTGTACCATATGTGGGACTCCTCTACTATATAAATAGGGTTCCAATCATTTTGTAATCATCACATTCACGCATATAAAAGCAGTTTATAACATTTTCTTAAGCACTCTTATTCTATTGACTAGTTCTTGCTTTTTAATAATATACTCAGTTGGTTCGAGGGCGACCTAGATCGAGGGCCAAGGTTGCACGTTACATTGGTTTGCTTTACTTTACAGTTAATTTCTAACTTCAATTCTCATATTTCTCAGTTTGTGCCTAGTAAAATCACATATCCTTAAAATCACTTACAAATTTAATTGTTATCCGATTTTTAGGGTTAACAAAGAATATATCATATTATCAAATATGTTTGATAAGAGAGTCAAAGTTTGAATTTTCGATTTTTCTTAAATACCTTTATAAACAACCAAAAATTGCAAATAATAGGAAGGCTGGAAACTTTTATTAAAGCTCGCCATCCCAGAATTGGTCCGCGGATTTGTATGGTCCATCTGGATGAACAAAAACCTCAGTTTTGAATCCTCTGCATTGAGGAATCTCTTGAATTCGAGCGATTTCTTCATTACTTAGTTCCCAATCCAAAATTTGAAGGTTCTCTTTCATCCTATCCTTGTTAAAACTCTTCACTAATACACTTACTCCTTGTTCATATACCCACCTCAATGCAACCTACAATTAAATATCATGATAGATACTTAGATAAAGACTAATAGCCAGTTTGGCTGAGCTTTATTTTGCCAAAAGTATTTTTTTCCTTTAAAATTAAGGTGTTTGACCAAACTTTTAGAAAAACAAAAACTATTTTTAAGTAAAGCAGAAACAATTTTTTAGAAGCGTGGAAAAAATAGCTTCTCACAAAAAGTATTTTTTCGAAAAACAATTTTGATAAGAATACACTAAAAAATATTTTTTAAAAAGTTTTGTCAAACACTAATTACTGCTCAAAATTTTTAAATTAATTAGTCAAATACAAAGTGTTTCTCACCATAAGTAATTTTTAGAAAAACACTTTTGACAGAAAATATTTTCTAAAATAAGATGATTTTAAAAGTTTAGCCAAAGACTATAAGTCTGATATACTAAGAAGAAAAAACTGAAGCAAAATACCTGTGCAATGCTCTTTTGTTTATGAAAGGCAATGTCTTTAAGGACAGGGCTTTGCATTACAGCATGGTTACCCCATAAATGCATCCCATTTGATCCAAGTGGAGACCATGCACTTACATGTATCCCTTTCTCCTTGCAAAACTCTAACATCTTGTCTTGCCTCCATGTAACATGCATTTCCACCTGCCAATTAATATTAATCATTTCTCTTACACTCCTAATTAGCGGTGGCAAAATGACTTAAAAAAATTGTTATCCATTTATATTATCTACTAAAAAATAAGTTGGATAATTATTATTTTTTAAAACGGGTCAAATATGGATAAGAATTATATTATTCACTTAGAAAATGGATAACCAATGGATAAATAATAGGCTTAACTTTTACATTTGTAAAGACTCAAATTTGGGGTTCCTTAATTTTGGGAGACTAGAAATTTTCCCAAAAATGATCATATTCAAGAAACCATGGATAATATGGATATCCATATTATCTGCTAGTTAACCCATTTTTTATCCGGGTCTATTTGAAATAACCTCTCTACCTTCACTGGGAACGGGTAAGGTCTGCATACACACTACCCTCCCCAGACCCCATATGTAAGAATATTCTGAGTATGTTGTTGTTGTAATCTATTTTTTTATCCGTATTAAATATGGATCGGGTCGAATAATTTATTCATTTTGCGTTATCCGTTTTTGATCTGCCCATATCCGACTGTCCCGTCCGCTTGTCATCCCTACTCCTAATAATATTCTCTCATTGATGAGAATTCCTATAAATACACTTCAAAACAATTGAATATTTTATGTAGCACAAATGAGAGTTAAAAGTTCTATACATTGACGGTATAAAAAACACTATCATATCAATTATAAGATAATTACACTGTAATAAGCATTAGTTTATGACCTGATTGAAATAGAAACTAACATACTGTAAAAGGTTAAACCACACCAATAATGAATTTTTTTTTACACTTAATGTATACTATATAACTTAATTCTTTCCTTAAAGTAATTTAATGGGTTGTTCTGTTTGGTATCCCATCTTTGATGTTTGTGCTCATTTGATCCCATTCTAGGAACTTTTTAGAACCCTATGCAAGCAGGGGCAGATGCACCATGGAACGATGAATTTATGTGTAAAAAATCATTAAAATTATTATAAATAGTAGATATAAACTCATAACTGTAAATGCTGAACTCATAAAATAAAAATTCTAGATCCGCCTCTATTAATGCAAGCATACCTGGTTAACGGCAGGAGGAATGATAGCATGGTGCAAGAGTTGAGAGAGTTTTGTGCAGCTGAAGTTGCATACACCAATAGACTTTGCCAAACCTAACCTGTGACATTCTTCCATTGCTTCCCATGTTCCTCTCATGTCAAATGGAATTACATCCTCATTTGCAAACTTTATCTCTTCATCATTACCCTTTTTCATCGTTACTGGCCAATGTATTAGGTATAAATCCAAGTAATCCATCCCCAGCATCCTACGAACATTTTTTTCACGTGTGATTAAGTTCTATACATCATGATTGTGTACAAATTATTCACACAATCAAGTCACTCATAAGGTAATTATAAGTGAACTTCTAATTGACAACTTGGTAAAAAGTGATAACTAACTGCTATCACATGTTAAACTACATTGACAATACATAAATATTTGACATTCATTGGGTAGATATTAAATGTAAAAATAAATAAATTAAAACTAGCTCCAACGACGACTCTAGGCTATTTGCATAGATTCGGCTAGGGCTGTGCATGGATCGGATCGGATCAGATTTAGCATATTTCGGATTTCAGATTGTACAAATTAAAATACAATCCGAATCCGATCCGAATTAATATCGGATCGAATCGGATCGGATTTTTGAATTTCGGATCGGATTATTATGCAAAACTCATATTTATATTTTCTTTGTAAAAGAGGCGTAAGACGAAATTGGACAAAGAAAAGAGAGTGAATATAGTAAGAAAAATTCATGTTTCTGTAATTATGAGAGTACTATGGTGCCAATATAGCTAAATCTAGCAATTGTAAAGGTAATAACTTGAAGGAAGATATAAATAAAATACTGACTATCTGAAATTAAAGTTTAATATTTATACATGCCCTAATAATTTCGGATTTTGGATCGGATCGGGTTACAATTATACCAATCTGAATCCGATCCGAATATCCGAAATTTTAATAAACACAATCCGAAATCCGATCCAAATATCCGAAATCCGAAACTGAGCGGATCAGTTCGGATTTCGAATATTCGATCCAAATGAACAACCCTAGATTCGGCTCTTTCTCTCTCCGTATATACAGGGGGAGTTTAGTGTACCGGGATACCAAAACTTACGCTAGAGTTCTTCTGAGGGCGGGAAGAACAAGGTTGTGGTGTGTTTCGGTGCACCATAATTTGGAGGTAATGAACACTTCATTTCGGCTATTAATTAGTCCACGTTGAACCGCTGCTGCCACTGCTAGGCCAAGTGCCTCCTCAGAGCCATAGACAGCGGCCGTGTCAAAGTGTCGATAACCGGCTTCAACGGCACCTACAAGTGTGGGGACTAATTCATCCAATGGTGGTAGTGAAGGTGCTGTTCCCATACCTATAAGAGGAATTTCATGGCCAGAATTCAACTTAACTCTTGGGACTAATACTTGCTTCATATCCATAGCTATGACTAAAATGACTAAGTACTCGCTGACCGTGTGTGTATTTATCTCAACCAACGTCAAGAGAACATTTGATAAAATTGGAACGACTTAGCTAGCCATTTTAATGTGCAAACCATGTTAACCTTATCTTGTTGAAGTGATAGATTTGATGTGTGGTGGATGTTGTCCAAAATGAACCTTTCCCTCCTTTCAACCATTTGTTCAACATAAATACTTGAACTCTAGCTAGCATCAAAAGTCATGGTTGTAATTTTCCTCCAAAATGATAGAGAGAGGCTTTAGGACCGCTGAAAATATGTCATAACTTAACATTGAAGAGGGATTTGTATTATAAACCATACGTTATTGTACAGATCAGCATGAGTGTACTACAAATGGTGATACTGGACCACTCTGATATTTTTTCTTTCCTTTTTGTTTCACTATTTATTTCAAGTTCTTTTTAATTACTTGTCAATTTTAAATCGATTGTTAATTTGTTTAACCGCTTCTATTTATTGGTAAAACTTTGCCTATATATAAGTTTAACAAAGTATATATGAATATTGAATATATCAACTGAAGTCTGAATAAAGGAGAAGGTTACCTAGCTATGTTAACTATTAACGTAAACTTATTCTACTATATGAATTTTGAATACTAAGATAGCAAATTTCACCCCATGTCACAACGCTAAAGACTTATGTGTTTATATTAATTCAATAAATACATAACACGTATATTGTCATATCAGTATTATCACTAAACTAAAGTTAATTAATACACATTGTAGGTGTTTACCTTTGCCCATGGCAGTTTCCTTAGGTCGGCTAATTTAGGTATAATAGTAAAGTCCATCCTAGAAATATTAAGCTGTTTGGAATTGAATTTAGCGGAAACGTCAAACTTGGCTTGTGTGTTATTGTTCTCCATTGATATACTATAATGTTTGGTGAAAAGTTATTTATAATTTATTTTACCAATCGACATTAAATGATGCCAAATTTATCATTAACTTTGCTTTATTCAGACAAAGTTATAGAGATATAATCAAGGCTTCCTACTAAAAATGTTACCATGACTTAATTCTTGAAACAAAATACTCATTCATTGAAATTCTTTCAAGTTTAATTTTTTTCAACATCTCATGTTTAGTACTAACAGTCAGAGAAGCATAATCAGATATTGAACAAAATTAAGGAATCAATATCCGAATTACTACGGAAAATTAAATAATTTGAAATTCCTACCATATATAACAATGCCATTCTTTTAATAAGCATTAACAACTGATAGAAAAAGGCTCATAATAAATCGATCCATGGATCTAAACAACAACCAGAATCACTTATTGATCATATAAAGAGTAATTACTTAAATTACAATACATCAAATAGTACCACAGAGAACTAACTAAAAAATCCTCACATATCCTCACACATTAAAGCACAATCCGCCTGAATAATTTACTTGAATAATACTCCTAATTGTTAAGCAGACATACATCCAATACCATATCTAGTATTGGGAAAAACAAGAAAAAGTCCACTGCAAATAACTCCCACCATTAAAGGAAAACTCCTCATAATTTCATCAAGTTCTTTTGCATGTCCAGGGAATAGACAAAGCGTCACTCTATGATCCGAAAATGCAATCGCCACAAATACCAAAACAGACATCATCGCATGCACGAAATCCGTAAATCCCACTACGTACCTATTAGAAAAAGTAAACAATAAATTAAAACATGAAATAACGGCTTTGAAGTGTGAAATCAACGTACTACAAGAAAAATAATGCTTGTGACAAAAGAATAAAATCTTCACATATATCAATCCACATGGATGAATTCTGACATAAAAATTGTCACAAAATTGTGACAGACGATCTGTCCGTCATGTATATTCCGTCAAAACTATCAATCCACATGGATGAATTCCATCATAAATGTCACAAAATTGTAACAGACGATCTGTTTGTCATATTTATTCCGTCAAAAAATATCAATCCAAATGGATGAACATAAAAAATGTCACAAAATTGTGACAGACGATCGGTCTGGTGATATATATTCCGTCAAAAGTATCAATCCACATGGATGAATTTCGTCATAAAAACTATCACAAAATTGTGAGAGGCGATCTGTCTGTCATATATGTTTGATCACACATATTACCTCTCATCTTTTGGCACATCCACACCTAGTCCGGACTTGAAAACTTTCAATCCTCTTGGTGTCACAAATCCATAGTAAACTTTCCCGTCGGGTCCCCGAAAACTATCGGTAAAATGGAAGAAGAAGCAAGACAAAGTACAAAGGCCAAGTAGTGTTAAAATCATTAGTGTAGTGACAGGGGAACAATCGCCTTTGCCATAGACTGATGGAAGGACCATTTCAAAAGTTAAAAGTGTGCCTGTTGGCAAGAAATTGACAAGCAATGAAGTTTTTGAGAGTGTTTTTTGAACCCCATTTGCCATTGCTCGTCTTTTCTTGCCACCAATTGCTGGTTGAGGCAATTCGGGGATCGGAACATCGTTGTCTGGTGGTAAATTAGTAGGGTACATTGATGTATCGGCACGTTTTGATGCACTGTAAATTTTGATCCCAATTCCCTCAGTACTTTGCTCCATTTTTTTGAGATAATAGAGAAGATTTAGAGGCGTTGAAGATTGAAGGAATAAGGAATAGTGATAAAATTTGAAGTTTTTAGGCAAAGATCATGAAAATGTTTATAGTATCGTATACTTGGTTTAATGTACTTTTTGGTTTATTTATAGTTTTGGGTAGGTAAATTAAATGGCGTCAACAATTTTTGAATTTGGTTAACGTTTAGTAACTAACTTGTTTCGAATGGTTGCCACCCGCAAACTATTCCTCTAAAATTCAAAATTTGCAAGTCCTTATTTTGGTAGTTCCTTTTTTTTCGTTAATCACTTTTTAAAAAAAAATTATTTTGCCCTTTGTTTTTTATTTCGAGTGAAATCTGTAGATGCCAGTCCTGAAAGGGCAACGTGACTGCTCTCCCTGTTCCAAAATGATTGTGGTATTATCACTTTTAACCCGCGTTAAAAAATATTTATATTTGATAGCCGAAAAAATATATAAAATTTGTATAACTTCTGTATATAACATATAAAATAAATTTTATATATTTTTTCGGCTATTATTTTTACAAGGTGTCATTTTCTAATGTCTTATCAAGTTTTGAAAAATATATCTTTTTGTATGGTCCATATGGGACGAGGCAAAGTGACTGCTCTCTCTCTCTCTCTCTTCCAAGATGATATCTCACGAGTCCAACAAAATAAGTATTGAATAAAATGAATTTATCTATGTTCCCCTCAAGGAAAATAATAAAAGATATTACGAATAAACTCCCACGTTAGTAACTAAAATGACTGGGAGCCTACATATAAGGTGTAGGGATCTCTTAATGGAATGGGACATTATGGTAAAAAACTATGCGACCTTGATCCAAAATGGTTAATATCATACCACGCTTTGAGTAACTTTAGGTTGGTTTAGCCCAACAAAAGAGCTTAAATTTATGAGCAATGACTGAAATTATTTTTTCCCCATCAAGTTAAAGTGAACTAGAACAGAACCTGTAGTCTTAACTTAGTAACCTAGAAAATATCGTAAATTACTTGTTGTAATAAGTTCAAATACGCTGAGGGGTCGTTTGGTACACGGGATAAGGTGGTATAAAGTGTAGTACTAAATTTATACCGTCAACCAAACATGGTATAAACTTAGTCTCAGACTTAATCCTGGATATCCCATCTTATCCCACTTTATCCCATCAAACTTGGTATTATTTTATCCCACCTCTCAGGTGGGATAAATTAGTCTAGGGATTATAATCCTAGGACTATTACTCCCGGAATAATTTAGTCCGTACACCAAACGACCCCTACTAGCATAGAAGTTCTTTACAATCTAAAGTCTCCATAAGTTAACTCCACAATAAAATCTACTATTAAGGTAGTTACATATGCATCTATTTGACCCCCAAATGAGCAAGCTTGTAGAAAAAGGTAAGAGCTTCAGACTCCTGAAAGCTATACAGAATTCACATAGAAAAGAAGGAAGAAACTATCTGGGCAGAAAACCATGGCACGAAATGGCAATCTCAAAGGCTTGCATTCTTTCTCCTCGAGCAAAACCATTGCAATCATAAGATGAAATCTCATTGATGTTGAGATCAACACAAGTCTGCACAAGTTTCTCACCAACACGTTCCGCTGCTTCCTGTGATTGAGAGGGGCAAAGTCAAGGGATGATGCTATGACTTGAAAATCCCATAATGTGTTGGAACAAGAAAACTGAGATCCCATCTTCAATTATAATTTATGGTCTCAATATGCTAAAGATACTCACTACAGTGCTGCATGGTGGATCACCCCGGATTGATTTTTGCAAAGTGCTCCCATAAAACAAAGACTTCTTATTTTGGTCATCTACCAATGTAGCATACAACTGTTTTTCTGAGCAGAAGACTGAAAGTCTTGGTTTTTCAGGAGTTCCATTAAACTGCCAAGACCGAAGAGAAGTTTAATGAGATTACAGTGAATCAACAAACTTATACATATATGCTACATATATTTGTGTTTGTGTGAGAGAGAGAGTTCATGATATGATTTTAGAGAACAGTTAAGATTAAGCATTGCATTTGGCAAGCCAAGTGGTAGAACAAATAAAGAAAAAAGGCAAACAAACTTCATCAACATGGGACAAGCCAAAAGACAATTGCAGAGAGCTTGAAACAAGCCCGAAGATGAGAAGCAAGTTTAAGCCACAACTTTACAAACGAAAGGGATAGAAGGATGACAAGGGCAAATGTTAAAATGCTCTACCTATTCCTACTAGACATAGAGATACGCAATGTTTTAAGTGTCATGGTGTGGGTAATATGACATATGAGTAGCCTAATAGAAGAGCCATGTTGCCAAAGTCAGAGGCGGATGTACTGTATATGTTATAGGTTCATTAAAATCCAGTGGCTTTGGCTTAAATCATGTATATGTGGTTAAAAATTCACTAAAGAAGTACAAAAGACAGATTTCGAACTCATTAAATCAAATGGGTTGTGGTAGAATCCCGAACTCGAATCCATAAAGTTCAAATCTTGGATTCGTATTTGGCCAAGACCCAATGATCCTTATGTAAGGGGGTTAAGTATGAAATGCCAATCCGGTAGATTAAAAGTCAAAGTCATTGTTGGCTATTCCTATACAAATATGCCAAGAAACCAATAGACTCTTTGCATTTACCTTATTCAGTTATGTACACTTATTCTCTTCCTAAGCAAAGGTTATTAGTTTGTGCTCAACAATGTATGATCTTAAAGCCTAGTTACAGTTGATCTCTTGCAGATTAAAGCACTAAATGCATCATTCGCAAATCTATTCTCCTAAATTAGTTTCTTGTTTCTGTCCGAACAACGAAGAATTGTAATTAAACCCATCAACTCCGAATCTTGTTCACTAACATTTATCTTAGTGTCAGAGGAGAATCCAAGTTTTGAACTTGATAGCTTCGACCTTTAAAGTTCTTAGCAACGAACTCATTGTACTTTTAAAATTATGGGAGTTCAGATCTAATATTTGTTGAAAATTTGGTGGGTATTCACATAAAAATCTATACGCTGCGTTGAAATACTAGATTCGGTTGAACCTGGTGCTGAAGCACTTAATCACCTGCTTAGTGTAGCCAATTGTAGCGCATATATGGGGCTACATCAGATAGCTTAGTATGCCTCACAATTCACATTATTTTGCCGGGAAAAATAATCAAGAGCATAATTTAACACATACCTTTTTTCTAATTCGCCTATTTCGAAGTTTAGCGCCCTCAGTCCGAGAATTAGCTTTAGCCGTGGCTTGAATAACCAATGGCTTAACGTCTAAGCCTACAAAGGATAATGTAGAAAGCTAAGTACACAGCAGAGTAAAATATATTTTCAAATATAAGTGTTGGACTTACTTTTATTTTGGATAGGAAGGGTACATAAGTGATTAATACAAATTCCAAAGAGCCCACAAGTCTTTATTTGTAGCGAACACACATTACCCAGAGCCATAGTTGTCATTCTTACCGCTAGTTTCCCAAATATTTTCACTTGCTAACAGAAATTACAGCAGACCCACTTCTCCAAATGGGACATTTGTGTGATTAAAAGCTAGCACGGCTCACTGGAGTAACCACACGCTCTTTCGGGAATTTAATCAAACAGGTTGTGTGCAAATACACCTTCACTTTTCTCCACAAAATATGAGAATGGAGAAGCAGTCAATTTATGGACTCAACGAGGAGGAGGAGTATATTGGGTTTAGGCCCAAAATAAGTAGCTTGAAGTCCACGAAGATCCTTACTTCTCTGTAATAGAAGTTGAGAGAAAAGAAGAGATAAATTAATGGAAAGGGCGAGCAGTAATATAATTGCTATTATAGATTGCAACTAGAGTTCCCTGTCTCATGTATTAAGAAAGGAGAAAGTTAACTTTAGAGGTTAGATTCCAATTAACAACCTCCAGAAACAAATACTACCCAATTCGTCTCATTTTATGTAACACTAATTGCTTATACGTTCAAAGGAAAAAAAATATTTTTAATATTTAAAATAATTTAAATTAAAACTTCTCATTTTATTCTTAAAAAAAAGATACTTTTATCATACCAACCCCAAGTTCAAAAAAATAATATTTGTTTCTTCATCTGGATTGAAATGGATGAAAGTAATACACCTCATAAATTGTTAAATTGAAATGGAGGAAGTAATTAACTTTGTACTCTAATTATATTAATTTGAACTTTGAAAATAAGAAAACTTTTTTATTCGAAAATAAGGATTAGGTAAATAGGAAACTATTGGATGAAAATAAGGATTAGGTAAATAGGACACTGAACTGTTAAAGATGCCACGCACAATCGTAATCGGAATTCTCCTATTGATTTAGAAAGAAGAGAAGTTGTGGGTTTAGTCAAAGAAGAAAGAGAAGATAAAGTACAAAGATGTTCACGTTTGAACACAATAAGCTAAACCCAAATTGATATTTGGTTTGTGAAATTTCAACCTTGCCCTTAAAGGAGATCAAGCCACGTGGTTCACAATCAGGCCATTCAAATGGCAATGCAAAGCAGCAAATATATCAAAGGGAACTTTCTAGACTATGCCAGCTGTTTATTTTGTTTTCTTACATTGTACAAATAGTAACACAAAATCTGTTATAGATACATATATTGTATAGTGCCACGTATAGACATAGTACCTAGGACAATTTATACATAACAGGGACTCTGTAAAGATGAATATAATTAAAATTATCAATTAGCAATTAAAATTGCTTTCAAAATATCTGTTCCCTCCTTTTATCGTATCAGAGCAGGTTGTTTAACCTGCTAAAGTTTTTGAACATTACTAGATATAGTTCTCCCTACATATATACATTTTGGTGATTAATGAAAAATTGTTTAGTTATACCAAAGAAATATCTATCAGTTAATTTGTAAACTAGCTCAGGGGAGTTTGGTCAACTTAAAAAATGATCAAAAATCACACAGCTTAGAAACAACAAGTTAAGGTTATTTTAAATTTTCATCCACACGGAAATGGGGCAACTACATGTTTCTTTATATCTGAATTCACTACTTTTTCCTAGCAAACTTTGTCAGTATTAATTTCCTCCATTCAACAAATATTAAAAAGAGTAAATTCTTAACAAACAATTAATGGATAGAATCTCACATAACCAGTTATGATTTATAATGCTTAAATATGAAAAGGTAGAATATATAGATTTAACACATTTGAGGGTTAGTTATAGGAGAATTTTGTCTAACGATTTCTCATAAATAATAAGAGTCAGTTATCTTTTTTCTTTAGTAAAAAAGCACGGATAGAATACATATAGAATATACAATTGAACATTATGCATCCCCCATCAAAAGAGATGCATCCCCCGCACCTCGTCAAACAATTGATACGTCAAAACCTACGTTATTAGAGCCTAGTACGACTACAGCTTTAGCAATAAGATAATGTTTCATATCGAAATCAGATAGAAGAACAAGTCAGTCAACCATATGTTATTATTAACTCTCATCGTGAACTAACCCAAATTATCATTACGAAATCCTAAATAAGGAAACTCATTAGTAACAACCAGCCCAAACTAAGTAGTAAACTCAGGAGTCAAAGAAAGGGAAAGAGGAGAGAAACGCAATGGAAGGGCCGTTTGGATTCGCTTAAAAAAATTGACTTTTAAGTTAAGTGCTGGAACTTGTTTTATAACTAAACAGTTACGTATTTGGATAAAAATGCTGAAACTTAAAACAAGCTGATGAAGTGTTTGGTAAACAAATGCTGGTAAGCACTTTTTCTTGTTAAAATGACTGAAATATCCTTAAAGTTGTTAACATTATAAAGAAGATGATGACTATAATATTATATTTTTCGTTCATAACTTCAAATTCAGGGGTAACACGTAAATTCATTGAATGATTTGATTTTAGAATATAGTTACACCAATTTTAAAAAAAGGAAGAATTCAACGACCAAAAAAATTAAATGTTATGGAACCAAAAAAAAATGCCAAAAGAACAATATTTTAAAAATATTGAAATGTATCAAACATTATTTAAAAAATTATTGTTTGCTTCACGTTAAGAACTTCAAGAAATTGACAAATATTGGAAGATGGAGAAAAAAAATAGTATGTTGTACGGTTTTTACTTGGGGGTAATTTCGGGATTAAGAAAAATTATAAGGGATAAGAATGTAATATCCTTGGTCAAAGCAATATGGCTTTTAAGCCAATTTAGAAAAAGTTGGGTTTTCCAACTTAATGATTTTGGCTTTTTTTAAGCAGATTTTAACTTTTTTAAGCCCATTTTTTGATTGCCAAACACTTTCACAAGTTAAAAACTGTTTAAAAATTGACCAACTTTTAAGCCCATCCAAACATGCTCAAAATCAGGTCCAGTCATTTTCTTAAAGCTGGGCTCCAAATGAAGTCTAAACGGTAAAAGGGCGGGGTTAATTCAGGAGTAAATGACGTTGTATGGCCGTCCAAATATTTTAATAGTCCATATTTTTATTTTTGACCCGAAATGGCCTTTAGGCCCAATTCTTTTGCAAATTGTAACCATAATTCCCAATGCACTTCTCTTCCCAATTCATTCTTATTTCCTACTCCTCCGGTTGTTTGTTATTTTCCTCCCATTTCCATCATCGATATAATCACCACCAATCCAGCTTATCTACATCGCCTTCCTTACACCACAGCTCCAGCTTATCACCATCACTGATCTCCCTACCACCGATTCACCATATTTCCATAAGTAAATCTTCATCTCCCTCTCAAAACACACTCAAATCTCAACCTCAAAATCAAATCGACCAACAACCACACTTGCGAATATGAAATTTATAGAAATAATTTTTCTTTGCCTAAAACATCTCCACCACTACCTCTAACTGATGATAATTTTATTATCTTCCATGTTACTTCCTTCCTCTTCAATAAAAGTCATGCAATTCTAAATCTGTAAGGAATTATAGCAAATACTTGGCTAGTGATATATATCGGCCATGGCTGCGATCAGATAAAGACTCTGGTGACCTTACCTTACGCTTTCCTTTTCGACTCCGACTTTTTTTGCAGCGACCTTACAAATGTTATGTTGTATAATAGGTGTATATGTACTATTATACAATTTATATACATTATTTATACAATATAAATATTGCTGGTGGGTTGTTGATGTTTTGCGAGCCGTTTTGGAGGTTGGACTTCATAATTCTTTCGGATGAATTTATATGCATTTCCTAGGAAGAAGTAAAAGGTGAAGTGTATTTGTGGAGGTGGTTCTTCTTCTTCTTCTTCTTCTTCTTCTTCTTCTTCTTTTTCTTCTTCTGGTTTTTTAATATGAGATATATAATTAGTATATCTCATGTACAATAAATATATATTTAGTGTATCTTTTATGTAATATCTATGTATCTATATACACTTTGAGTTTTTATATAGTATACACTGATTATACAATATATATACACTGATTATACAATTTCAGCTACGAGAATTTCTTTGGTGAGCAAAAAACAAAAAGAGATGGAATTGTATATACACTATTACATTGTATAAATTTTGTATATAAAGTGTATCCTATATTTTTCAGTGTACCCCTAAATCCTAATGTATCTTTAGTGTATCCTAAGCGTTTTAGTATGTCCAAAGTATATATATTTTATTCTACGATGTATAAAAAGTGTATATATTATTCTACAATGCATAAGAAGTGTATATATATTATTTTACGATGTATAAAAAGTGTATATATTATTCTACAATGCATAAGAAGTGTATATATATTATTTTACGATGTATAAAAAGTGTATATACACTTTATACTAGTGTATATTGTATGTACAATATATACATCACCTTCTTCTTTTTTTCTTAAATCATGAGTATTTTTGCTTATATGATATCATATTTTTTTAGATTAGATCAATAAAAATTTTAGGTTCTTAATAAAATATAAAAAAGATTATAATTTATATGTAACAGGAAGAAGTTTGGTGGTTGCAGAGGTGAAAGTGCTCAAAATTTATCCCAAAAAAAATCCTAAACATAAAAAGGAGGTGAAAGTGTTTGAAATTTTAAAAAAAAAATAATTTTTCCGTGTGTCATAACAAACAAAAAATCTTAAAACCTAAAAGGAACTTTTTTATGGACGTAAAAGAAATTGAATCAAAAACTAAGACTCCCAAATGCAAAAGAGAGTTCAAATTACAAAACAATTAGGCGGTCGCTAATTTTTTTTGTTTCGTTGCTAGCCCTTCCAATTGGTTATGGGCTATTAATTGTATGATTTATTTTGTGGCTATCGATTGTCATTAGTTTTTACCGGATGATTATAAGTGATAATAGCTCTTAATTAAGCATATGCCCATTTGCATGAGCTTCATCAAATCCAACATCATATACACGATCAAAGGTAGGAGTGAATTGATTACACAAAAAAATATCAAACAATCTGAGAAAAATGATATAAATAACAATTGTTAACATACTGATTAATTACAAAAATTGAGGAACGAAATTATTACAAGCCTTTTACATCAATATTATATATTAACAATACAACTGAATTAATAAATAATCTGATACCACAAGGGTTGTAAATGACCAATTCTAAATTCTGAACTCCAGGTTTGTCTTTTACAAATGAACTTCAAATTGATTCCATTAATTCGCAGAATTCACTAGCCAAACAAATCAAACGGTAATTAAATCTAGGAAGTGCTACCTCTGACACAATTGATTTCAAACACATCTAACGCTTAATTTGAGCATGTTCAAAATAAAACAATTCACTATTTACAGCTATTAAGTCAATTAATCGAATGATTCCAATTGAAAACATTAAGTTCGAACAATCAAATATGATCAAATATTGACAGAGAAAGCAAGGCAAACAGATCTGGCAGTCAACATCAAGAATCCATAATATTCAACATGTTTGTAGAATTAACAACTCAAATATTGATTCATGTTCAAATAGAAGTTATCAGGAATAGGCAAACGTACCTAGAAGTAGAAAAATAACAATTAACGACTAAATAAGGTCTAAAACAGAAGAAATGGGGAAGTTCAGCTATAGATTAACAACAAACAACAATAGGACCAACAAACAACTTCAATTTCCAATTCAATTATCGACTTGAAAACCCAGAAAATTCGTAGATCAACAAAACTTAGAATCACTTTTGAAGTCTCTCTTTTTCTTTTATTTTTTTTTTGATTTTATGGAGTTTTGTTTTGAATTTCAGACCTGAGATTAAAAAAAAAATTGAATTCAAGGAACTATTTTAGTAAGAGGTGCGTGAGTGAGGATGAGCGTGTGTTGTTATGGTGTGTCAGTGTGTGCAAGAATATTTTCTGGTATTTTTCTCTTTTGGCTCTCTTTCTTTCCTCAACTTTTCTCTCACTTTTGTTCTCTTTTTCCT